GTCTCGCTCCTTCAGTCACGCGCGTGATCATTTGCGTGTCTCGGGCGTTTTGCTCGACGGACCAAGAAAGAAGAGAGACTGCTCGTAGTCTACTAACTACAATTCGTCTTCAGGCGTCTCATTTTAGTGGATGCCGAGGGAGACGGGACACGAGAAGCGTGACCGAAGGAATACGGTGGCTATCATTTGTTCCAAATTGCAGATTTTAACGCAAATGTTTCAATAAAAGTTTGAAGAAAATGTTATCTGTATTTCTTCAAAAGAAGAAAAGATCGATGCTCGGATTTCAATCAACAACCGTCCCACTAACAGAGGGTGGTCTGTCTGTGGTTGTACCTGGTTGTACTCTTCATTACGTTGAAAATGTGCCCACGAACGCTAATCCTGCGGGTCGTTTTTCTCGCAATTGCAATAATAACATCAGTTAACAAAACAAAATGGGCTGGTTATGGGGGTAAGTACCCTCGCTGCCTTTCTAAGATTTTAATTTTAAAAATGACTCTCGAAATACGGATCCCTGGTGTTCTCTCTCATTCTCTCATTCCTTATTCACTCTTTCTGCTTTCAAACGTGGAAATTCACTTTTAAAAGAACGCTTCAAAGCAAACCAAGAATGCAAGGGTATACTCAAAAATTAGCGTGGGATTTGTTTGCATATTTGGGCTTTGTGTCAATCAGTCAACTTTATGGCGGCCAAACGCAATATTAAATGTTAACATGATGCTATCAAAATGGGTATAGAAGCGACAAATCCCTGTCTAGGCTGCCTAGGTTTTGTCCGTCCCTTGTCAGCGCCTCGTGGTTCATGGCTCAGCATTACTTGTTGATTATCGAATTTCTTTGACTTCCAGAGTCTCTCAGTGAAAGCTAGTGTTAATGGGGCATTCTGGTCATAAATAGGACATTTTTGTCGAAAATTTGTTGTAGGCCTTCAGACTAAGTGCAACACCACCATCATCGTCATCATCATCATCATCATCATCATTATCATCGCCATCGTCATCATCACCATCACCATCACCATCATCATCATACTCATAGATTTTGACACATCAAATTTTGTGTTTTAATTTTAGGTCAAAATGCGTTCCGTAAATGTGTTACTTTTGCTGATGCTTTCTTTTCATGAGGTGAAAAGCACTTGTAAGTATATTTTTATTGGTTATCACTACTTCAGAAAGAGCAAGGGTGGCACTGTTGGTTAGTGCGCTCTGCCTTCAGTGCGCGAGGTCCCGAGTCCCGGGTCCCGAGTTCCACTTAATTTTTGGTAAAAGGCTTCGAAATTTCACCAAAATTCCCACGTGCGTTTTCGTTGTTGTAAAATGGCATATCTGAACTCTATAACGACAAGTTTTACTCGTGCGCTGTTCTGACTACCGCTGAATGTTGCGTTTTCTCTTGTGAGAAACTACTGATTTTGCTTACAGTCTTTGCGGAGGAGAGAAAAAATACGTGTGCGTCCAATTTATGCGTTGTATTGTTTTTCCGTTTAGTAAAACGTTTGCCTGTCTTAAAATATCACCTTCTGGACTCACTTTTCGACACCAAAAGACAAAGCGAATTGGCATAATGTAGTTACGTAATCATTTTAATAATTATTCTACGTTTATTATTTTTGTAGTTGTACTTTGAGTCATTGCTCTTTTAATCCCTGTCACGATCGACCGCAGTGCACCAGCAAGTATTCCCTTTAAAACCTAGTTAAATAAGCATTTTACATCAGTGTAGCAAAAGAGTCAGAAAAATGCAAATTATATTTAAAACAGGTCAAATAAAAGTAACCTTACACAAAAGTGAAGTGGGATGCGCGCGCGCGATTGATTCTGTACGCTAGAAAACAGTACGATCCACCTTAATTGAAGGGGACTTCGAAGATTGGAACAATCGATTTTGCGAATTAATCCAGCAAAATTGGATATTAAATTAATTTTGCAATGCAAATCTTCCAGGTGGGTATGAGTGCGATCCGTGCGCTGAAGATATTAAAGTGCTCAGTAGTAAATATCGAGCAGCTGGCTTCCAGAAGCTAACAAGAAAATCTGACAGAACAAGACGGTGGAAAGAGACCTGGTACAAATTTACCGGTGGTGCTGGAGACAAGATGGCTACTGCGTGAGTACATGCTCGGTTATTCTTATATTCACCATTTTCACATAGACCATAATGCAACTTGTTTACCCCCCCCC